AGCATCCATCCCAGCAGCCTTAACAATACCTAATGGGACAACAGCAAAGAGGGAAATCAAGCTCTGGGTTCGGATGTAGTGAGGTGCCCTGAAGGAGCTGAGGTCCACCTAGACCAGCAGACACCCTTCAAAGGCAGGGTGTGGGTTGCCGAGGTCAGAAGGTGGGTGACCCCTGCCCACCCCCAGCCCTGGAGCACCCCCACCATGCAGCAAGCCTGTCTCTGCCCTCCTTACATCTTCCCCCTCCTGCTGGTTTCCTTGTTCCCCACTCCCCTCAGCCTAGGGTCTCCCAGTCCCCTGTGCAGGTCGGTCCTTTTTTAGCTGGAAAATGAAGTAGCTGCAATGTCTAACATTGGGATTGACAAGGGCGCCCCCTGGAGGCCAATCTGAGGGTCCGCAGGGCCCTCCCTGAGCTCTGGGCTTCTGAGGCAAGGTGTTGAAAGTGGGGCCCTCTTTCCTGCCAACTTAGGTAGATTTCTAGATAGAGCGATACCTCAGTTTGACTGACATATCCCCAGGAAATGTTGGGCTGCTGATAAAGCACAGCCAACATCTGAGCTGAGGCCAGCTGTGTTGAGGAGCAAGACGGGTAGAAATGATGATCAGAGCTGAACAGTGATTTATTCGTACAGGAGCAGAGGTTGGGAGAATCCTCAGGCTGGGTCAAGCCCCAGGTCAAACCCCACTCCCAGCCTTGTCCATGACTCCCTAGCTTGCTCTGGCTACCATAGTCCAGCCTCTCCCCTGCTCAAGTTGGTTTATACAGTCCGACCACCCTGTTCCCAGCACCCTCTAGGTTCTCTGGGGTCTCTCTGACTCTGCCGAGCCCAGCTCCAGCTCCCCCAAACCTCTTTAGCCCAGTCTGGACCCTCCCAAGTTGCTGGCTTGCTGCCAGCACTGTCCCGTTCTCAGACTCTGGTGCTTCCAGTCCTCATGAGGTGAGGGAAAGATCAGGAGGTCTTTACTAGGAGGTGGCAGGAGCTGAGGACAGATGGGCCAGATGGAGCTCATCAAAGGAGAGGAGAAGGGCATCTAAGCAGAAGAAATGTGTGGGCAAAGACAAGGAGATAAGGTGTCAAGTTCTGGGAAATTCGGAGTGTGCCAATCCAGTCTGGCCTGAGTACTGTGTTCTGGGTAGGGGTGTGGCATTAAATATGTCATGGGCCAGGGAGGAGGTGGGTAAGGGGTTTTCATCACATGTGTCTTTAGGAATAAAACATACCAACAACTAGGACTGACACTGTACTAAAAGGGAGAAGGGAGTCCAGGATGTGAGGAGACACCTGGGGCAAAGGCCAAGGGCTGGAAGGTAGACCTTGCCCCAGTGGACTTTACTTAGACCTGAGGATTTTGTCATCAAAAGATTGACACCTTTCCCAACCCCCGGTGACAGATGGACTAATTAATATAAGCTGCCTCATCCACGGAGTGGAAGAGTACAATATTGTTCAGCATTAAATGGTGCCTACAGAGGTTCTGTAAAGACAGTATAGATATTTTCTTACGCAGTGCTGGTTGAAAGTGCAAACAGGCAATCCCTACAGAGGGCAATTAGGCAACAGCACTGAGTTGCAAATGCCTGGAGCGTACGGCCCAGCAATCCCACTCCGAGGAACGTTTTTTTTTTAAAGGATCTGACCACCTGAGGTTGGAAAGGACCTACATGTCTATCAATAGAGGATTATAAATGAATGACAATGCATCCGTCTCATGGACGGTGATGAAAAAGAACAAAGACTCAATGTGCTGATTCATAACAACCTCACAGAGACTGAGGGAATAAAGCACTGTGCAGAAGAGTAAGTAATCTGTGCTACCCGTGTGCAGAGAAAACATTGACTAAGTATATTTACAGATGTATTCTCTTATATGCTATAAAACAACTCTAAACAGATATGTACAATAAACTGGAAACACGGAGGTTGTGGGGAGTAGAAAGGACAGGGAGGGAGAACTTTTGCCAGACACCCATCTTCTGAATGCCACATCTGTGGATGTTTTCCTCCAAATCCAAATTTCTCAAACTCCTTGAACTGTCATGGTTCAAGGCCATGGTGTCATGGGCTGCAGACCTCTATTCCTGGAGGGCCGGCACCGGAGCTTGGGTCCTCTCCTTTGGTAACTGGCCTGGCAGAGCCCTGCTCAGGTCCCTTCTGCTCTTGGTGCCTGCCCTCACCTGCCCTCTATGTAGTGGGCAGACCATCTACTCCCTGCACCTCGGATTTAGCTGCTGGGCAGCTCTGAGTGCCCACTCAGAGGGCTCCCCCTTCCCGGACCCTCTTCACCTTTACAGTGGTTCCACAGGGCTGTCTCGGGTGCGTGGGTGTGGGCTGTTTTTCCTGGGCGGCTGCCTAGCCATCTGCTCCAGGCCTCCCTCCTCCACTGATGCCTGTCCCCACTTTAGTGACCACGGGAGTCTAAAATGTACCTTATTCAGTTTCTTAGGGCCAAAAGCCAAGGGAAGGGTGGGAGGGAGAAGGCTGTGCTGATGACCCTGCCTCCCACTCCCACCCAGCCCTCTGCCTGCCTCCGGGGAGCCCCAGGCCAAATGCTGCAGTCCCAGGACAAGGGGCCCGTGAAAGGGACTCACTCTCCCGGACACTCTCTAGGCAGCAGAGGCCCTGTGCTGTGGAGAATGTCAGGGTGAGTCAACTCTTTCTAGGACCTGGAAGAGGGGAGGGAGCCTCCAGGGACCCAGAGCCTCAAGTCCTCCACATCCACAACGCAAGGAGTCTGCCCTCCCTGTAACTCCTACCCCAGCGGGCTGCGCACCAGGGACTCCCTAGGGTCCAACCCCTGCCCTCGGTGGGGGGCAGGATGTAAGGGGTCTGGAGGACTCCTCACAGTGGGGTTTCAGCTGAGTTTACCACCTGCCCGATGGCATCTGGCTGTCCATCCCTCAGGTCCCCCATAAAGGCAGACAGGAAGAGTGCCCCTACAGGGAGTCCCAGAGAGTCCCGCTGTGGTACTCGCAGGGCCTCAGCTCTCCTGCTGGCTGGCTCCACACTCCAGCGCACCAGCTCCGTTCTCAATAGTCGGAACGTGGATGACAGACCATTGGCCCAGGGCTTTGGGCAGCTAGAGTGGGCAGCCAGAGGGGCAGGAGTGAAGGGGTTCACTGGGAAAATGCTTCTCAAACTCCTGGAGAATTAAAAAAAAAAAAAAAAAGGCCAGCACCCAGATCTTTGAAATCAGAAACTGGGGTGGGATCCCAGTCTCCACCATGCAGTGTGGGTAAAGGGCCCAAAGTGCTGATGAGACCAGAGGAGTCGAGGGCGGGCAAATAACCCCAGGTCTCTGGAGTCAGAGGGAACGTGGGCTAAGACAAGAGCAGTAGCATTCCGAGGCCAGATTACCCTGATTTCCCCTTCCCTAGGTAGCCTGGAAGCCTTCCAGCACAGGCCCTAGACTCCACAGCAACAACCTCCAGACCCCCAGCGCCGGGGCCATCACCACGTCTGCACTAGGTGCTTTCCAAGGCGGGGTAGGGATTCCTGCGCTCCATCTGATAGTGTACCATCCAGGGAACCCAGGTGTGCAGGCAAGGCTGCAAAGGCCTATTTCATCCCTCAACTAATGGGTACAAATTCCACTTTCTGCTAAACAGCCCTCAGGTACTGGGCCCTCCCAGAAACTCAGCAGTGTCACAGTTTTCACTGCAGGGTGGTTTCAGGACCCATGCTCTGGTGGGCAAGCCCTGTGGATCATCTAGCAGAGGGAGGGTGGCAGATGGCGAGGCGGCCTCCACACCCAGCCCCCTGGGTCTGAGGACCCAGGATTTCTGACCAAAAGAAACCTTTTCAAACTGGAAGTATTCTTCAAAGGTATCTCTGGGGCATATCTTTTCCCCCATAATGACTTGACAGTTTTGGTATTTCCATTCAAGACAAACTTTTCTCTCATTCTGCAGAATCTTGAAAGTAGGAGCCAGGAAGCACCAGTTCTATATAAATATGGATTGGTATCACTTCCTGAAACTTGTTTCCGGAGGTTTTACCACATAATTTGGACCTCTCACTGCTCACACAAATAAGCACAGAAACAGGGTGATGGCTGAGGGGGTGTTGGAGAAATCAGTGAGCCCCCAATACCTCAAGCTGTCCACCTGAAGGTCCCTAGAATTCATCAGGAGGCCCTTACACAAACAGGAACACAAAACGGTTTTAAAGAGCCAAATAAATGCCTTGCCAGGGTAGCTCAGTTGGTTAGAGCATTGCCCCAGATACATCAAAGTTGTGGGTTCAACCCCTGGCCAGGCCACATACAAGAATCAACCAGTGAATACATAAGTGAAACAACAAATTGATGCCTCTAAAATCAATAAATAAAAATAATAAGCCCTGGCTGGTGTGGCTTAGTGGACTGAGCAAAGGCCTGAGAGCCAAAGCATCGCCAGTTTGATTCCCAGTCAGGGCACATGCCTGGGTTGCAGGCCATATCCCCAGTATGGGGTGTGCTAGAGGCAACCATACATTGATGTTTCACTCCCTCTCTTTCTCCCTCCCTTCCCCTCTCTCTAAAAATAAACAAATACAATCTTAAAAACAAACAAACAAATAAAAGGAGGTTAAAAAAGTAAAGCCTCAGAGGTATCATGCCCTGATCTGGAACAGGGCTATTTGACTATTCATTTTCGGTGACTTCTGCTTGAAACCATTCAGCTCTGGCTAGCTCATGATTAACAAATATTTAACAGAAGCCTTCAAATATGGGTGTCTATGAAGAAAAACACCCACATTTACCTTGGTATAAAGCATGGTAACTAGTGCCTCAGACTCAGAAGGCTGAGAGTAAGCACCAGCTGCTCCTTTTCTGGAGGGAGGACACAAGGTGGGGAAGGGCTGACGCAAGGTCCCACTCTATTTTACGGTCAGTAGCAGGGCTGGGTTGCAGGACTCACCCTCGGGGAGGCACCTGGAGTTTCACCAGGAACTGCTGGGGAGGCTAATGGGGGCTGAGCACCTCCAGGCAGCACTGAGGAGACACCGAAACACTGAAGCTGCTGCCACCACCGGCTGATGCAAGTTTTATTGAGACAATGTACAAACAGGCCATGGAAACAAGGGTTCTGATGCCAGAACCAGTAACGTAAAATGAAATACAAAAATAAAAAGGCACTAATCTGTTAAGAAAAGACACTCAATGTATTCTAAGAATATAAGTCATTTAATACTGTTAATTTTATAGCACAAAATAAAACAAGCTATGATCCCCAAAAATAATTTTAAAAGCTTACACAGAAAATATTATTGCCTGAAGTTTACGATCTTTAAGTTACAGGTCAAGAGTTTTGTGTTGTTTTTGTTGTTTCAAAACACACAGTGAAGACCGTCTAGAAGCAAGGCCACCGTTTCTCCTGCAGAGACAACGACCCTGTCCACAGAGAACTGTCCTTCCACTCCTTTAGAACGCACAATTAGTTCGGTATCCACACTGTCAGCAGTTACCAGGGACATTGGTCTCCGGTCCCGGAGGGTAGAGTTTGAGGCAGAGCTCAGTGGTGTCCAAGAAAGCATTAGTCTTAGGTATTGTGTTAAAACAAGAATTCACTCATTTTAAGAAGTTAATGAACATAATATTAAAGGATTAAATTATAAACACCTGGCACAAAAAACACATCATCCCTTTTCAAAAATAAAATGTTCATTTTCCTCTGAGCAGTCATTACAAGAGCAGCGGCCGCCCACGCCACCCGCCCCATCTGTAAACAGCTGTAAAAGAAAGCACAGTGCCAGGGATGCGTGAGCTCCGAGGAGGGAGCAGCTGTCCTTCCCTCCTTTCAGCTTTCCAACCGGGAGCACAGAAGGTGTCTCTTCTGGGCGACTGAAGTCAATGTGTCCTCCTCTTCGTTACCGTGTCATAAGGTGGTACCACACTGTGCATAAATGACAAAAATGACTCCTGTGTTGAAGATCCTTCCCAGGATAAGTTCTGAATCAACTGTCAATGCCCTTTAGTACGTAACTTGTTCACTTCCCAAGTGAATTAATTTAACATCCAAATATTTTCTTAAATGACAAGCAGTACAGTAGAGCAAGTAGCAATAATGAACCGTCCTAAAAGGGAAGTGTGCCCAGGAGGGAAGGAAGCCCTTCTGGAAGATTCACATCACTTTCTGAAGCACTCTTCCCAGACTGCTGGGGAACCCACTCACAAAGCCAAGGCGAGGGTGCTGTTTTTTGTATGTTTAGTGTGAAAAATTTCCCTGCCTGATTAAAAAACTACTAAGAGTCTAGGTCAAAAAGGTGCTACTTTTGGCACGTATCTTGAGAGTTCAGAACTCAAGGCTCACCCTGTTTGATGCTCTGAGTCTCCAGGGTAGTCCTGGAGACACATATGTGGGCTGAAGTGGTGAGCAGACAGACTTACTACGAAGCCAAACCTAGGCTGTGAGTGTTCTGATTCTGAAGTGCTCCACATAATGTGGGTCTGCTATACTGGTCAGCAGACATGGCTGAAAGAAAACCTTGCTTTCCAAAACGGCCGTTCTACTTCTTGTGTTCTGGGCCAACTATTGTCCTAAGAGGTGCCAAGCCCCCCAGTTAACGGGCACACATTCTACCTTCTGCTAAACACCCCTCAAGTACTGGAGCGCTAGCCGCAAGGCTAGTTTCTAGGCAGAGTGTGGGGGTCCTTCCATGCACGTGTCACTTGTCACCGGGCCTCAACTAAGAACAAGCAGCAACTGCAATGGATGAGTACCTTCAGAGCCACAGGTGCCCACAGTTCTCACTTGATTAGGAAGAGCCAATAGCTATCTTCTTTTAGGAAAAGTACAGACAGGCAGCCACAGTGTAATTTTTTTCCAACTGACCATTAATTCTGTCGCATAGGAGCACTCTCAAGATTCTTTAATATGGTGGTAACCTGCCTGACAGAATACAGATTAAAAAAATTTTTTCATTGTTATGCTAGTTCTGTTACCAGAATATATTGCTCTAATGCTCAAAACCTAAGACCTCTGGGAGACAAACAGATATAGCAGACATTCCGTAAATGACACAGAGATGCTCATTAGGTCACCGCTACATCTCCAGGTCTGCTGTATTCTTTATAAGCTGAGGCCTGTCATCATCAGTTTCCAGAAGTGACAGCAGGTTGAAATGCAAAAAGGTTCCATAATTCTAGTCTGCCTTAGCCACTTGTACCAGTTGGCTTACACGAAGAGGCCTCTTTCAGGTAACAGGGAAATTAACATCAAACTGGTAAATAGTTAATGGTAAATTGGTTAATGGTTCTCCCTAGCCACTAAAACATTAGACATCAAATACACTAACCAATGTCCACAGTCTGCACTTTCTTTGCTTGGGAGTATCATGAGCACACAGACAGAGGAACCAGTATCAGCAGCACCATCTTTCTCTGGCAGCCTGGTGAGCCTGGGCTGGGGCAAGGAGGGCTGGGCTTCAGAGAGTAGAATTTAAAGTAATGAATTCAATGATTCTATGAACAACCTCCCTTTTTAAAGAAACTTAAGTCCTATACTTTAAAAGGGTACACTCACTGAAGCCCAAGACAAAAAAACTGGTCAAGTGCCCTCTCCCCAAATGTTCCTATCGTTGACAAACAAGGTGAAAGCAAAGGTTCCCCCAAATCGCCCTCCACACTATTGCTTTGGGGGACAATGCAAATCTAAAAGGCTGCCCACACAGCTTGGCACACCGTGACTGCTGAGTTTTGGGGTACTGGGTGTTGTTTGCTATATGGCTAAAAAGATTCTGCCACCAACCAAGACAATAAAGGCCTCCTCTTCAGGGTTTTTCTTCTTTTTTCATTTCTTCTAGGTACAGTACCTCCAGTTTAGAAACTCAGAGGCATGTGTCACTCCTGGTGATATCACAAAAATCCAACCTGCTACTTAAAAACCTGTTCAGAACACACACATCTAATTAATTAAAGTCTTTCAAAATCAAACCAAAAGGAAAAAAAGACAAAAGCCAGATTTGGGGAGTTGAGGATAGAATTCCCTCTTCTTTAACGTTCACTTGCTCTGTTCTTTAAAGAAAAACAAACTTAGCAATTCAACCACTGTTTTGTTGAACAGCAACGTGCAATGTCTCACCATGGCCTGGAGCTTTCTCTGATGAACACGACAGAAACAGTCACATGTACAACAGGGCAGTGATGAGAAGGACCCTTGCCTTGTCAGCTCCTCTTGACGTGTGTGCTTCCACCAGTATTTCCAGTTTATGATCCAAAGGAACTCTAAAATCTGCTACTCTTTGACAATACAACTATGATACAAATGCGAAGGCAGCCACTGTGTGCATTCCAAATGCGTATGGGACCGCCAGTCTGCAGAAGGCTGGACGTCGGCAATGCAGTGTAACTTGCCTATGAAATAGGATGCTTTTCCATTGAAAGGACTATGACAGGCAGAACAATGAAGCAGCAGAAAACAGGGCAATGGCAATCACTCATTTTCATCTGGGTTTTGAGGGTCAATGATTTTGACATGAGTGAAGGGGAAAAGCCCTTTGCGCCCATTGACTTCACCTTCCCACTGGCCATTTATATTCATCCTCGTGACTTTCACAATGTCACCAACCTGTAAGAATGGAGAAAGAAGACAAAGTCAGTATGTTCTCTGTAAACTAAAGAGAAAATTAACATTAAATCACACACACCATCCTATCCAAAGGAAACTATACATCTTTTCAGGACTCAACTTACACGATCAGCCATTTTAAAAAAGCACTAAGAAGTAACTCCCTTTACAGGAGGATTGGAAACACACCAGCTATGCAGGTGACTATCTCTACACATGCCACCGGGAAGCAGACAACTTACCTGTTTTGCCAACACCTACTAAGTTTGTAAACTTGGTAATTTTGTCCTAATGTGACCACATATCAATATGAAAAGGGCTCATGCTGCAAAGAGCTGAGGGAAAGGCCCAAACAGGATGGAGAAGGAACCTGAGTTATGCAGGGTTTCTAATTCAAACGAGACACTGTGGATCAAGGACTTGCCCACGTGGCCCCATTTTCACAGAGGTTTTACCTCCTCTTTGACCCCCGACATATAGCAACCTCCTGTAAGGTGTGCTGGGATAAAAGATCCAGAGGCTAGAGCCCTCCTCAAGGTAACAGGCTGGTCCACCATGAAGCAGGGGCACAAAGCTAGGCAGCAACCAGTGGTGGACACTTATGTCCTTGCCACTCTGCACAATGCAAAGGCAGCAGGGCCCACCAGCACCTAGGATGACTCAGCCTCCCCCCTGAGCTTTTCTCACAAGACACCCTCTGCCCTTAATACCCTATCTTCTGAACTTCCGTCTGCAAAAGCAGGATGGCTACCACGAGTTCTGTACTTTCCCATCCTTCATTATTATTTTTTAGATTTTTTTAAAAAGACTCCATTTATTTATTTTTAGAGACAGGGGAAAGGCAGGGAGAAAGAGAGGGAGAGAAACACAATGTGCAACAGAAACAGTGAGTGCCTCTAGCACACCCCCCACTGGGGACCTGGGTCACAACCCAAGCATGTGCCCTGACTGGGAATCGAATCGGCAATCTTTTGGTCCACAGGCTGGTGCCCAATCCACCGAGTAACACCAACCAGGGCTCAAACCTTCATTACTTGATTTTATCATTCTACTTGCTCACTGGGATGTATGAGTCCAGCCATTTAGAACAACTTATAATTCCTCACACCTACTGAGAAATAAAACTATAGTCACTATATTTCCACAAAAGCACTATTACTAAATGGAGCTTCTCGTCTTGTGGAAACGGACTTATTCTGTGTATTCATCAAAATGACAATGGAAGAAAGAACTTTATCCCCTGAGGCTCCCTGGTTAGAACACAGAATAAATTCAGTTAAAAAAAATTTTTTTTCCTTTAAGTATCCTGTCTGAATTCAGTCTTAAACTCCTTTATTTGGAAAAACCACCAATCGCCCTGGCTGGTGTGGCTCAGTGGATTGAGTGTGCCAGCCTATGAAAAGAAAGGTGGTCAGTTTGATTCCCAGAGTACATGCCTGGGTTGCAGTCCAGGTCCCCAGTTGGGGGTGAGCAAGAGGCAACCTAATGATGTATCTCTGACACACTGACGTTTCTCTCCCTCTCTTTCTCCAGCCCTTCCCCTCTAAAAATTAATAAAATAAAATCTTAAAAATAAGTTAAATTGTGAAATACTTCAGTGGAGAATATTACAACTGAGAAAACATGCTTTCTCTGGCTTTGCCTTACAAGGAAATAAAAATTTGGAGGTGAGAGTAAATTGATTTAATATAAAAATTGTTTTAAAATATCTGGGACATACTAAAGACTTCTGAAATAGATTATTTTTAGTGCTTGGGGTCCAAGGATTGCTCCCTCTCTCCAAGTTACAATGTTTTTATTTATAGATAGAAGGAGAAGGGTCTTTCTTACTTATAACTGGGATAATCACACAAATATTCTGGATAATTATGAAAAAATTCATATTTTTTGAAGTGGACCAGGGATTTCACTTTATAATCTGTACATGCTTTCCCTATCATACAGAAGTCACACTACAGAACAACTTTAATTATTATATTTGTTTCTAGTAGAAGCATTTTTCAGATCTGCATTGAGAAAAACTCCATTGTGAATGAGAAACTTGAGTTATAGTAGAGACTGTCGAAATCACACAGCTGGAAGCTGAAGTTGATGACAATCTGGAATCACACCTTGTGTCCACTCTATAATCATCCTATACCATTTTAAAAAAGCATTATTTAAGCACAAACATAAGATATAATAATGCTTATTTAATGACACACATATTAAAATCAGGCCTAGGTGAGCAGAGAGAATCCTTCTGTAGGAAGGAGGTACTGTGACACTACAAATCATAAGTCCCTATAGCTGGACCTCCCTGATTTCCTTGAGCTCTGTACTACACATCCTCTAGATCTCTGGCCCCTTTCAGCTTTTCAGTGCAGGGACCTTCTGTCTCATTGTTCAGAATACAGTGAGGCCATCAAGATGAGGAGCTTCACTATCCTGCTTCTCTCTTCAACATGTCATATTCTTTGCTCATTCTCCTTTTCACCTAAGAAAACAGGTTGACTCTTTATTAAAATAAACACACAAAAAGGCAAGGACAAGTAAGAGAGTGTGTAGATGTATACCGGAAAAGAGGATTCAGTGGGGGAGGGGGGACAGATCAGGCAAACATCTGGTGTATTCTGCTGTCCTAAGGGATGATGATCAGAGGGCACCTGGGCAGTCTGGGGCAGTCTGGCAGGAACTCAGAGCCAGATCCCAGATCAGACCCCCAACAAGATGTTAAAAACAAAAGGTTACAGCAAGAATGAGCCCAGACTAAAAAGAAACAAAGTTACAGCTGGTGCTGACAGGTGATGTTCTGCAGATGTCAGAATTAATAGCTTCTCCATGTGACTGAAGTTTTTGTTTGCACTACTCAATTGATGGTCTACAAAAAATACTTTGAAACTGTTTTATTATACATATATTTTGCTATCTTTAAACTAGACTCCAGATGCTCAGAGAGCACATATTTTGAAGAAAGTTTAAAAATTTAGTTTGCCTTCGCTGAAAAGGACAGTCTCACCTTCCTGAAAATCCAGCCCTGGACAGCTTTTCCTTTTTTCTTCAGTGAACTCATCCCTCTAGCCTGGGAACTAGGAAACACATTCTCATCTGCTTACGTGCCCAGCTTCAGTTCTCCCCAGCCTCTCACAAACTGTCTCTAACAGCCTAGCCCAGCCATCCTGCCCTGAGCTACCTTACCTTCCATCATCTATGTCACCCCAGTCCAATCAACCAACTCCTAATCACCCCCCTCTCCTATAGCCAAACCTTGCTTATCATACTGTTGGCTATTGTTCCCATCATTTCACCAAGAAACTCCTGATAGCCCAAGTCAATAGCCTGAGTTCAATTTTCTACCTAAAACCGTAACATTACTCTTAGAAGAAAACATAAGAGTAAATCTTCATGACCCTGGATTTGGCAGTGGATTCTTAGATATGACATCAAAAGCATGTTAAGTTTAACTTCATCAAAATTAAGAATGTGCATCAAGGTAAGTCAGCCTGCGAAACAAAGGGTCACAGGTTCGATTCCCAGTCAGAGCACAAAAGCATCATATCAGCTCTACCACTATATGAGTGGAAATTAAAATTTTATGTAGTTTTTATATGTTGTAATATTTGTTCAAATAAAACTCTCCTATAATAAAAAAAGAATGCATATCAAAGCACACTATCGAGAAAGTGAAAAGACAACCTATGGAATGAGAAAAATATTTAGAAATCATGTTTGATAATAGCTTAATATCCAAAATATGTAAAGAAATCCTCAAACCCAATAACAAAAAACAAACAACCCATTTTAAAAATGGGGAAAAAGTTTGAATGTTTCCCCAAAGACGATATAAAAATGGCCAAGAAGCACATGAAAAGATGTTCAACATCTTTAGGAATTATGGAAATGCAAATCAAAACCACAGTAAGGTACCACTGCACAGCCTGTAGGATGGCTATAATTAAAAAAAAAAAAAAAAGGAAAATAAGTGTTGATAAGTATGTGGAGAACTGGAGAACTGTAACCCTTGTGCATTACTGGCAGGGTTGTAAAGTGATGCAGCCACTATGAAAAACAGTTTGGCCATCCTCAAAAAATTAAAGAGTTACCATGTAACCCAGCAATTCCACTATTAGGTATATACCCCATCCCCCCAAAATGGAAAATATGTATTCAAACAAAAACTAGTACATGAATATTCACAATACTCTTCTTAATAATCAAAAGGTGGAAATAACTGATGTCCATTGCCTAATGAGTAGCTAAACATAATGTGGTATACAGCCCTATAATGGAACATTATTTGGTCATAAGAATGAAAATATATGCTACAACATGATGAGCCTTAAAACATTATGCTAAAGGAAATAAGACAGACCTAAAGGACAAATACTGAATTTCTATTTGGGGTGAGGAAAAAGTTTCGGAACTAGTGATGATGATTGCACAACACTGTGATGTAATGAATGACACTGAGTTGTACACCTAAAAATGGCAAACACATTTCACAATAATAAAAAAAAAAATACCACAATAGGGTTGCTTAAAAAGACCATTGGTTAAGTCTTAGCTCTGGTACATACCACCTGTGAGACTGTCAGCAAATAACAACACAAACCTCAAGTTTTAAGTGCATAAACTGGTACTGATGCCATCCACCCCCATGAGGATTAACTGAAATACTCTCTGTGAAGCCCCTCACTGACGGTTCTTATTCAAAAGCTATTACCACATACAAAAACTGAGGTCAGCACTAATGTCCCAAGGCTGGGAAATGCCTTGTTTGAACCACACTAAGGCCACAATTTCATGTTGTTGTTTTTTTAATCCCATTTACATATTACAGAAGAAAAAGGAAAACTTTAAAAGAATAATCTCTGGCTCACAACCATGAGAATATATGTTATAAAAATATTAAAAAATATAAAATTCTAAAGGACTTTCTGCAGATTCCAACCTTTTTTAAAAAAAGTTTTATCTATTTATTTGTTAGAGAGAGAGGAAGCGAGGGAAAAAGAAAGGGAAAG